TTGGGGCAGAGCCGTGGGTACCCAGGTGCTGACCAGCCTGGGAAAGGCCACTGTAGGCAAAAGCCTTCTCTAGGAATAGAAGGGCCTGCTGTATGGTAGCTGCGTAATTGACTGCAAAGAAGTCACATCCAAAGAGAAGCCCATTGCTCACTGTCGTCACCCGCGGGTCAGTGTGTGCACACTTGCTCATGTATGAGTAGTGATTTAATGGGACTGCCAACACGTATGCCTCAGTTTTCCTTAGAGACAGAGGCCCACTTCAGCTCTCTGAGAATGGAAACACTGGCTATGACTGGGGGGCTGGTTCTGCCCCCCCTGGAAGCTCCAGCTGTTTCGAGGCATCTTGGAGGAACTGATGTTGGCTTCCCCTGGTTGGGGTGTTCTGAAGGTATAAAAGCCTTGAACTGTGATTCTCAGTGAGGGCAAGCTCTGTTACGCTGCACGGTGTAGTAGAAAGCCATGGACTGAACTTCTTTTACATGTCTGTCTTCCCCAGGAGACTGAATTGTTAAGTGGTCTCACTAACTTCTAGATAACCTCACGAGTTAGAACATTTGGACACTGAACAAATATTTGCTGAATTAATAAATACATGAATGAATGAATGAATGGATTTGCTACGAAGACCTCCTGGACCCACAAGTGTATAAATCCTGTGAACAGCTCACCGACTGGTAATCTGAGCTGGTCTGACAGCTCAATCCCCTGATTTAGCAGAAGGGTCTCTCTCTGCAGCCTTTCCTTCAACAGGACCTGTCCTCGGAGCTCTTGACTCTACATATAGAAAGCAGCTGACCCCGAGTGTCGTACGGGGAGGTGCCGGCCAGATGCCAGGAGTCTGTGATTCCAGGGAGGAGCAGCCCTGGCCTCTGGTCTCCGAATGACATGTGTGTCACAAACTGCTTTGCTGTTTATTGTAATATGCAGAGACTCAGGGGCACGGAAATGAGCCTTTTCTTGGGCTCTGGTTAATGTCAAGTTTAATTTGGCCAAGAGTCACTGGGGCTTCATCATGCATTTCATACTCAAGGCAGTTCTGTGACACTTCACCTCGGGAAAGCCTGGGACTGAGATGGGAGATCCCTTCATCTTGAATCTCTGAACCCAGAGAAGGTGATAAGCAGCTTGTCCAACTTCCCCAAGAGGCCTGGCTTCATGTAAGCCAGTGGCAATGGGGGACCATGTCAGGCTAAGTTTGGTCCTACAAGCTGAAGGGGACACAGGTGCAGGGCCCTGTATCATTTTTGTTTCAAGATGGAATGGAAGTGTTTCCATGCACAAACTGCAGGCAGCGATATGCCTGACGTCCAGTGTTCCCCTGGAAACAAAGAGGCCATTTCTGGTGCTACTGCACCTGTCCGGTGTTTCCCGACAGCAGCTTTGCCCGGCTGTTGTCCGACGGCCCCTTACGCAGGATCCCATCATTGCTCGTTGTGGAGCGACGTTGCAGGAGGAAGAAGCAGGTGGGCAGCGACCGGACCTCCACAAGGTGCCTCTGGGGAGACACCCTTGCCTGGCTCACCGCACAACAACAAATGTCACAGAAGCAACGCCAGGACTCAAAGACACCAGGAAGCGCCCCAGGACTGACCCTGGCGAGCACAGAGGGCAGGCGAATATTGACTTAAGGGAAGCGTTTGGAATGGCGAAGGAGAGAGAGATTCTAGCGGGAAGAAACATGAACAAAGGCTTAGGGATGGGAATGAACTGGGAATAGCGACAGATGGGGTACCCTGGCCAAGAAGAGGCAGGACGGCAGGGAGAAATGGGCTATAAGGACGGATCAGCAGGATGGAGGTGGGTCCTCGGGGTGTGGAGAGCCAGGCTAGAGCTAGGCACCCACACCTGGATGTTCCACAGGTCCAGTCATCACTGCCCCCTAAATCCACCCTTGCCCTGAATTTGGTGGCTACTGGCTGGTGGCACTCTCGTCCAGTTAGATGCTCACATTAGAATCTTCTAAGATTCCTTCTTTTTCACTGCTGACAGCTAATCAGTGATTGACTCTTACCTCCTAAATCTGTCTTAAATTCATCCCTACCGCCACTCCCCCGGTTCAGAAATCATTCTCTCTTGCTTAGACTATGACGATAACATCTTAATTGGTCTCCCTGTTTCCACCCAAAGTCAATAAAGATTTGTAGAATGAGAAATGCATGAACGCCGGGGCTTAAAGTGTCATGGTGGCTCCCTGGCTGGGAAACCCCGCCAGCAACTTGTCGACCGTCCACTGAAAACACAGAGAAGCTTGTCTCCAGAACCTAACGTGCCCCATGGGAGTCAGGAATTACAACCCAGGCTCTGCTTTAGAAGCGATCTGGCCTGCCTTTCCCTCATGGTTTGGAGAGCGCGTGGGGCCTGAGGAAGCTGACCCCAGAGCAGATGGGCATCTGTCTCACTCATTTGCTCCTGCCCTTCTTTCCTGAACTCTCCCTCCGCCGATTCAAGAGTCAGACTCCTAATCTGGAGGCAGGAGTGGCCCTGCCCGTCAGGCTCACTCAGGGTTTCCAGAAGTGCGATGGGAGGGTGGCACTGCCGGGAAGGTCACCAGAAAGACGGGCAGACCTCTCTTAACAAATGGTCGCTCCCAGCACCAGATAAGCTCGCATCTCAGGGGAAAGTGCTTCCCTGACTGAATTAACCTGCCTTCCTGCCATGCGAGGCTGGCAGCCCAGAAGCAATGAGCTATGTTAACAACCAGATGCAATCTGGCTCTAAAGTTTCTTCGCTCAGAAAATCCTTCTCACTCTACCTATCTCCTGGTGTCCCCTTCGCAACATTCAGAATCAAATCACCAGTGTGCGCCCTTGGGCCCATCTGATCTTTAACAAGCTGATTCCATCATCTCTTTCTAACCTGGAGGAGTTTAGGAAATGACCGTCACCCGCGGTGGCATGGGGTAGACTTGACTTATAATTCAGGTGCGCGGGGAGCGAAATGGGATATTCATTCAAAGTAAGTTGTCAGCGGAGCTGGCTTCTCCGCTCGCGGACTGAAGGAGAGAACCAGAGGCAGCTTTCTCAATACTGCGGGCCCCTGACAGCCACTTTCACAAGAGCAGTTTGGAATATGGAGGTCGTGGTGTTTTTCCGAATCTCCTGCATCATTCTGGAAAAACGTGCCTTCCCACATGCCCTCCTTGCCGGCCTGGTGACATGACAAATAGGACGCGGTGATACCCGAGCAGGGTGTATTTCACATTCAGTTCTCAAATTGTCACTTGGTCCTTTGGGCAAGAGCTGTGTGTGTGAAGGTGTGTGTGTGGGGGGGGCGCACGCACATATGTGCATTTGTGTGCATATTTGTGTATGCGTGTGTGTACCTGTGTGTGCCTGTATGCACCTGTGTGTGCATGAGTGTGTGTGTGTGTGTGTGTCAATGTTGAGAGAGAAAAACTGCCCTGAAGAGAGTAGTGGAGGGGTTCCCAGGAGGGGATGCAGGCTACGCTGTGTGTTCGGGAGTCTCCTTCTCCTTTGGTGGGGATGGAGTTACCCCCAAGTGTAGGCCCCGTCTAAGAGGAAGCTCTTTCCTAAGCTGCCCACAGCCCAGCTGGAGAGTCAGTGTGAGGGCCTGAATATTCTTGGAGAGAACAGAAATGAAGTATACGTGGTGGGGATGAAGGAGACCCATCCACCCGTGCACGGTGTGGTTTACCAAGCACATGGCACCGTCCCCCCCGTATTGAGTATCTTATTCCACAGCTGACTTGAGCGGTTTACGTTCCAGCTCCAGAGGCCTGGCCCGGAGTCACAGACCCTGAGCCAAAGAGCCCTTCATTCCCACAAACCTACCTTCAAAGTCTGGCTCTGTCACTTTCTATCTGCATGACCTTGAACAAGTCATTTTTCCTCTCTGGGCCTCAAATTGTCCATCTTTAAAACCGGGTGAATAAGACCCTCCTCAGTGTAGTGGGGAACTTAGGGTAGGGCATGTGAAGATTCTAGGAGGGTGCACACGGCAGGTGCTCAGTAAAGCTAAGCTTCCTTGTACAGAACCTCCAGCAGCCTGGCTCCTAGTTCCGGCCTGCTCCTATCTTGGGGCGCCATCTTTCAGCCTGTGGACAGCAAGCCTTCTGTCCCCCACACTTGGACTTTCCAGATCCCACCTCCACTCTCACCCTAGCTCTTCTCTTCTGACTTGGGCAGCCAGGCCTGGCTTCACCGGCATGTGACCTGAACAATCACATGAGGCCCCCAGCTTGCTTTAATGCTTTGCTGTTGCTGCCTTAAAATTCTTAATAATTTTGGAAAAGGGTCCTGCACTTTCACTTGCACTAAGCCCTCAAGTTCCATAGCTGGTCCTGGGGGAGGAGACCCACCTCTCCCCAAGTGGCTGACACCACCCTTCACACTGGCCCCTGGGCAGGTACCTCTCTGTAAACCAACACAGTGGAAGGGATCCCTGTTCCTTCAGGCCCTGTGCTAGGTGCTCTTAAACACATGGTGTCGGGCTTCCCTGGTGGCGCAGTGGTTGAGAATCCGCCTGCCAATGCAGGGGACAAGGGTTTGAGCCCTGGGCCGGGAAGATCCCACATGCCGCGGAGCAACTAAGCCCGTGCGCCACAACTACTGAGCCTGCGCTCTAGAGCTCGTGCTCTGCAACAAGAGAAGCTACCACAATGAGAAGCCAGCGCACTGCAACTAGAGAAAGCCCACGTGCAGCAACGAAGACCCAACGCGGCCAAAAATAAATTAATTAATTAAAAATAAAACAACACATGAGGTCATGAATCCCTATTTTACTAACGAAGAATAGAGGCTTTGTCACATCACTTGCCCACAGCCATACAGTTGGTCCATGGTGGGATCTGATCAGGTGTGTCTGATGCCAAAACCTGTGCCCTCTGACCCTTTAACCATGATAAGTAAACAGTATCCATCCAGAGGTTACACATACCGATGAAGTGGGGAGGGGCGATTCTTTCATAATATAATAACATATGCTTTGTATATATTGTTTAAAAAATAATTAAAAACTAATCTCAACAGGGAAAAACCTACCACATAATTTCTGAAGGGATTTCTCAGAGTAGGTCTCGCGGTCACAGCCCTTCCCGATGTAATTGGTCTGCAGCTCTGTGGTGATCTGGATGGAGGACACAGCCCCGTCGCACGTCTCCAGGTGGATGCTGGGAAACAGGGGCACGCTCCCTGAGCCAGGCTGGTACTCAATCCTCTTGGTCCAATCTGAGCAAACAAGGGAAGAATGACAGTAAGTCAGGTACAGACAGTTCCGCTATAACACGTGTTTTGAAAACGTGAATTTGTTCCACCACAATTGATATATTAGGAAACAATTTGAGGATAATGGGAATTTCACATTTGCTTATGAAAGATTTCTTGCACGAGAAATATTAGGTGAAGAAACCTGCACCCAGCTGAGCTGAGCCGAGAGCCATGTGGGAATGTCCAAAACAGGCACGTGCACAGACCTCAGACATCTACCAGCGACTCCCCTCACCATGTGTGAAAAGCCACACCCGCCTGGACCACTGTTACAACTTTCCATTCCTATCAGAAAACCCTCTTCACAGTAACGTACCAGCTGCAACCTTTCCTGTGTCCACTTCCACAAGCAAACCTCAGGTCTCTTCAAGTACTACTTATTGTAGTACTTATCTATTTCTTAACCACTTAACCTGTGTAAAAGTAACACCATGCTAACATTTTCCCTCTCTCTCTTTTTTATGTGTCACTGATGACATTTTCGAGTGTCAAGTCCCTTGCCCCATTTTCCCCGTTTTGCCCAGCAAGGTGAGTTTTAGGAACGTATACCTCTGGTCACAAAATAAAGGCGAGCAAGGTAATTCAGGATTACATGAGGCCACGAGGTGAGGTGCAAGGACTCTTTCCCGAACATTCAGGACTGTGACCCACTTAAGGAGGGCTGATGGTCTTATCCCTGCTTTTAGTGGAAAAATAACTTGGAGACAATACAAGGCTGGAGAGGAACAAAATCACAATCAAAATGGTACCACACGAAACAGAGCAATCAACAAAAATACACACCAAGCGTGAGTGTACACAAGAATTGATTGAAACAACCGTAGCAGCCACTGAAAGTCAGAGGCGAGTCGAGGCCACGCTCATGGGGACTGGCAACAGCGCTTGCTGAGAGCGACAGCTGCCTGCGAGGTCTGTGCCAGCCTGAGCCAGGCTTGTGGGTAGAAGTCTGAATCATCAAGGAACATGAGTTGTGGATACTATTAGTTTATGAATCTCAAACATCTGTCACATTGCTAGATGGTATCCTTTTGCTAAGGTAGAAATGAAAATCCATGGACTGCCTGCCCTCACCCTTGAGAAACTCAAGAGAGTCCTACATGTAGGGTCATTCATCAGCCACCCAGGGGTTCCCCACAAACACCCCATGGGCCACCGGCCGCCACCTTGAGGAAACCAGTGGAGTGGAAGGGCTGGGCTTATGGACTGTCAGATGGCTTCGTTCGGTAAGAAAGCATTTATTTGTTTGGGGTTCTTATGTACCTGGCTCTGTTTGTAGCATCACAGATACAGCAGTGAAGGAGTCAGGAAGGGTCCCTGCCTTGTGGAGCTGGGAGAGAGAGGCAGATAATGAATATGTCCATGCTGTCCTGTCAGGGAGGGTAAGTGCTATGAAAGGAAAAGTGGTGACAGAGAGTGACTCTTTAGATGGAGAGAGTTCCTGTCTGAGCTGAGACCTGAACGTCAAGGATGAATGCCCACGGGAAGCCTCAGAGAAGTTCATTTGAAGTGGATGCCGCAATGATCTTGGCTTGACTCAATCAGGTCAGGAGTTTCTTGGGAAGGTTAGTGAAGGTCTCCTAGCCTCAGGCACCTCATCAGTGAAGTAGGGACCACACTGGGGGGGCTGAGGGCCAGGTGCAACAATGCGGGCCTGACATGCAGTAGGGCCCCAGTCCATGTTACTCCTTCCCCAGCGAGCAAAGGAGACGTGCATCCCCCCTGCACTGCAACCCTGCCACATTCCAGCTAACCAGGTAATTTGGGTTTAGCTCTGAACCCCTGCATTAACCAGCCATACTTTAAGGGGTTTCTCTGAGCCATAAGCAAAGATCGTACACCATGTTGTGGGGTTCATCACCAGAGAACTTGCCATGGGAGGATGTTTAAATGATAGCGACTACAAGTAAAAGAGAATACACCCAATTACATGTTTTTACTCAGAGCTCCGCGGAGCTGTGTCTTCTCCCGGAGGATGAGATCACGAAGCTGCTATAGCCCACGCTCTAGAGGTCAATCTAAAGGACCAATCACTGGTAGACAGGAGGGCTTTTTCTTACATATATCTAAAACTCACAGTGCTGTAAGCAGAGGTCCGCACATGACAAGTCTCGTCGTGTCCTAGGTACACAATGTTTCATACTATTGAGCATTCAATCATGCCATTTTTTCTGCGTGGAGTGCCCTTTCTATTCTCTTCTGTCTGTCACCGCCCGCATGTAACCTTTCAGGATTTCTCCAGTCTGGGTTGAAACCCTCCTCTGTGCTCTCACAGCATATTCACCATTAGACTACAGTATTAGACTCCAAGCTGACGGTTACCCTGAATCCCCATCATTTTGCACAATGGCCGGCACAGAGCACATGCTCACTAGACAGTGGTAGGAAGTGTGAATGGATCCTGTAGGATATCATCTTGGAATTATCCATTCGTGTGCCTGCCTCTTCCTGTAACGAAGAACTCTTTAAAGGCAGGAATTGTGAGTTTATTTCTGATCCCTCCACACCTAGCTCTGAGCACAGGAAATGTTTGCCAGGTGGATCTGAGAAGCCTCAGAGACCTAACCTTGACTTCAGCCATGGCATCCCTTCTTGAGCCACAGAGAGAAGCCACAGCCTGTTTGTAGCTTCTCTGGTACTGCCTCCGTCTGCCCCTACCCTCAGTCCTGCAGAGCCATCCATCCCAACAGCAGCCCATCACATGTTTGCTTTTCTTTGTCCTCAGCAAGGCAAGTGGTCCAGAACCGATAATGGAGGAACCTCTTCCCAATAATTAAACATGGTGTCAAGGAGGAGGCCTCTTTCCTTCCCTTCCTCACTTTTCTCTCCCTGGATCTTCCTTTTCTTTAGAGATACAGATTTAAAAATAATCAGGGAAATGGTTTTGTGCAGGGGGACCTTGGTATGGCCTTACATCAGTATCGATTCCCTTTATTCTGTGGGGACTGTGGGTGTCTCTTTCTCATCTAGATATTTTAGTGGTTATCTCTGATGAGAAATTCCACATCGAGTCCTTTTCTGAAGGAGTGTAAATAAAGAAGCAAATAAATAACGAAGGAAAAGTCAGTGGAGGCACAGTCCTAGCAAAGTTTTAATTCTTTTTGCCGCCCCTGGGTAGAGGGGACGAGTCCCTCTCTGAAGAGAAATCATGCACAGAAGAACTTTAGGATCATCACACCTGCCAGTTGCTTTGGTGACCTCATGAGGCTTGTTTTTGAGAGTTTATGAAGCGTAGGCAAAATTGCAACCATATAGTAAAAGAAATCAATGAAGCTTTCTGAGTGTAGCGTCCTGGAGACAGTGGGAAGCTCACACAAACATCTTTCATTTTCCAAGAAGGAGTTGGGGTGGGGATTAAGAGAGCAAAATGCAAGTCATCAAATTCAGCCTTTGTCACATGAAATATCTATTCATCTTCATTTTCCAGAGGGAAGGATGGCAGGATGGCTAAAAGTATGACCTTTAAATTCAGGGTGTCTGTGTTCAAATTCCAGGCCTCCCACTTCCTGTGTGAACTCTGGGCAAACTACTTACCCACCTTGAGTCTCAATAAAAGTCACACCTACCACCCAGGATCTGGGGGGATTAAATGCAGTTGTTTCAGCCTCAAACACAAGGGACATATTCAACAGTTATTATTGTTAAGTGATTATTTATGCAATAACATTTATTGCAGGAAATAAGAAGACATAAAATTATTAGCACCTACAAGGTGCTAAGGGCTTTTAGGTCTCTTCTTTCATTTAATCCTCCCAGCAACCCAGTGAGTGAGTGCTACTATCTTTTCTTTTTTTAAAATAAATTTATTTATTTATTAATTTTTGGGCTGCGTTGGGTCTTCATTGCTGTGCGTGGGCTTTCTCTAGTTGTGGCGAGCAGGGACTACTCTTCGTTGTGGCGCGCGGGCTTCTCATTGCGGTGGCTTCTCTTGTTGCGGAGTACGGGCTCTAGGTGCGCGGGCTTCAGTAGTTGTGGCACACGGGCTCAGTAGTTGTGGCTCACGGGCTCTAGAGCGCAGGCTCAGTAGTTGTGGCACACGGGCTTAGAGGCTCCGCGGCATATGGGATGTTCCCGGACCAGGGCTCGAACCCGTGTCTCCTGTATTGGCAGGCAGATTCTTAACCACTGCGCCACCAGGAAAGTCCATGAGTGCTACTATCTTAATTGTGCAGATGGAAAACTGTGGCTGAGAGTTGGTGTGACTTGCCCACAGTCACAGGGCTCTTTTACAATAGCTCCTCCATGATTCTGAGGATTTGCTGGAACTGAGAATGGTGAGTTTTACAGATTCATTTTTGTCTTTCAAGATTTTAAATTTTATTTATTTGTTCGGCTGTGTTGGGCCTTTGTTGCTGCACGTGGGCTTTCTCTAGTTGTGGCGAGTGGGGGCTACTCTTCGTTGCGGTGCGCGGGCTTCCCCTTGTGGTGGCTTCTCTTGTTATGGAGCACAGGCTTCAGCAGTTGTGGCACGCAGGCTCAGTAGTTGTGACGCACGGGCTTATTTGCTCCGCGGTACGTGGGATCTTCCCGGACCAGGGCTCGAACCCGTGTCCCCTGCATTGGCAGGCGGATTCTTATCCTCTGTGTCACCAGGGAAGTCCCCAGATTCATTTTTGAACCTTCAATTTGCACTGATATATGAAAAAAAGAGATGATAATCTCTGATGCTCGTGAAGGATCAAGTGTTGTCAGTTTTATCACTGCTTGACCTTAGGGGCAGTTTGTGTGGGTGAGGGGTTGCTTGGACACTGAAGACTGGAGAGATCTAGGCTTGAATCTCATCTCCTCCGAATGCGGGTCATGTGACTTTTGCAAAACAGTTGTCATCTCTGGGCCTCCGTGGCCTCATCTGTACATTCGGGGTAGTTACACCTCCTCGTGGGCTCATCGTGAGCGTTGAAGGCTAAGGGCCCAACACAGCAACCTTCCTGCTGAAGCCTCAGGATAGAAACATCCCACTCCTT